GGCCTTCGGCTGTCAGTGCGTGTGTGGGAAACAGCTGGGGATGGAGATCAAGGTCGGATGCCTGGGTAAATGTTTTCCATGTTGCAGACTCTTTTCACACATAACATTTTGATCTATTAACGGCCGCGGCTAATTGATATGTTGAAACTACAGATCTCGAAAATGAAACACACCAACAACTAATGGCCAGAAATTTGCTATTGAAAGCCAAATAAATTGAGAGATTATTGCTTGAGATTTCCAACTGGTCGTGTTCTCATTATTGTAATTGTTGATTAAAAAAACGATGTTTTCATATGCTTATTTTATTTTCATTATTTATTAATAATATGCCCTAGACGAGAATTACAGCGACATATATACGAGCTTGTCTCTCTATCTGTCCATTTGCTTATGGCCCATTAATATTGCTCTTCCCTCCATACCCTGTACATAAATAAGGGCTAAGAATGGGTGTCATAAAGTTTTTTAAAAATATATGTAATATGCAGAAGTAGTTAATGTTTCCATTATATTAATAATTAAATACCAATAATACTTTTTAATTATTATTTGCATAATTATATAAAGCATAAAGCATAAAGCACATATCTACGCACAGAGTACGTGGTATTTTCAAGTCAAGCATTCTTTCTCGCTCTTAAAGTGATTGGTGTGTGTGTTGTTGCTTTTTAAAAAATCTGTAGCTGTCAATGGGACTAATGGACGCACACATCGATTTGTAATTCAAATAGAATTTTACCAGGCGACTTTCAATTGTTTCTAAAGTGGCTCATTGTAGCGCCATGGGGCAGATAAGCCCCGCGAACCGATGCGACCCGATGCGACCCGCCCCTGCGATTCATGGGCAAAGTCACAAGAGTTGTTGTCTATTGGATTTACCGATAGACCTTATCAGCTTAAGCGAGAAATACAGCAAATACCTACACACATAACTACGCTATTTGTACTCTACTTAAACGGAGATATACCCTTACCCGCATGAAATGTCCATCAAACAATTCAAAATCAAATAAGAATATGTGCACTCGTTGAGATGTTCTTGCATAAGTTAAGACTTATTCAAACAAGTCTCTTTTCTTAGTTTTTTTTTTAAGACTTCCTATAACACGGTTGAGTATTGAGTTGAGCCTTGAGCTATAACGCCCCAAATATAAATTAAATATATAGAAATAACATTTCTTTAGAAGACGAACTCTATTTTGATTATGGACGCAGAAAACTCTTTATAGACAAAAGTTACAAGTTTTATCTTCGCTAGATGTGTGGAGGCAGAGGCAATTCGATATGAAGGTAATAACTGTGTCATCAGTATATATTACTGTACGTGAGTGCATATTAACTGGAACGCTCAAGTCACACGTATATAAGCTAGGACTAGGAAGTAGGACTCATGACGCTTCCACATGACAATTTAGCATCAGGTATATGGGCGAATGACAAAGAAAGCCACATGCTACACTCTCTCTTAAATGTCTGTTTATTGTTGTCAAGTATAAAGTTGAATAACCTTTAGAGGGCCAAGCGAAATTAAAATTGATAATCCCATTCAAATCATCAAATTTCTCTGCATCCAATTCTATAAAATTCTTTCAAATACTTTAGCAAATGTTGATAGGCGAAAGAGACGCGATGACTCTCTACCCTGTTTGGTTTCAGAATCATAATCTGGATAGGCCAACGACGCGACGTATTCTAATTCTAGCAAAACTTCTGGATAGATTTGATGTGGCCAGCAATACCAGAGCTCCAAATCGTAAGCTTCCCAATTCCGTTTATATCGTGGCCTATACGGATTTGCCTGATTTGTGCCAGTAATTGAATGTATCATTTGAGGGATCTTTTATAGCTTCCAAAATTGGTCAATGGACGTTATTTACATCATCACGCATTGCTTGTACTGTCCTGTCCAGACTGAGTTGTGATTATGACAGCTTCTGTGATAGTCTCTCATTTTCAGTTGCGTCGCGAAACTCCCAACAAATCAGTTAAAAGAAAGTAAGTTACAGCACTTTTTAATTTCTTGTACAAATGTTTGTAGCCGGCAGAAGGGGGCTTCCCTGACGACATAAAGTGAATAACCTGCTGATCTTCAAAATGATCGGAGTCCATCTTCCCTTATTCTTCTTTATGCACACTTAAAGATTTTGGTTCAACGCTTAAATGCGAGTAAAACAATTGGTGGATGTGAAGTTGCGGTATACAACCGGATGCCGCGATCCTCTTACATCGAAAGAGATGTAAATAGTCCCTCCTACACAACCAAATAGAAGTGTCTTTAATGGGTGGGTACCTGCGAAAATGATGGTCCAAGGGGACGCTCCTTTACGTTTTAATAAATCCTGTAATACGAATCGAAAGATTCAGGAGCTCACCTTATGCTCATTGACCTTAATGTCCGCTTGGAGATATCAAATTTGGTATGTGGGTTCTCGTGCGGTATAAACAGAATAAACTTATAAACAAAGAAACTTACTTTAGGTACAAGGAAGTGTTTATGAAGAAAAATAGCTAATTGTTAACTTGTTTTAGATTGGCCCGATTCTTAAAAGCATATATATATTTTCGATTCCCAAAATGATAGTTAATCTCACTTCACGAACTTCTCTAAAATATAGCACACATTAGAATATTCGGACAATATTTATTTAGTTTAGGTACCAAATAGATTTATATTTGATAGATTGTGACAAAGTTCCGGCTAGAATATCGTCAACAATTTAATCTGAGAGTGTATTTGTAATTCGTCTTTCTGTCAACTTCTGTCCTTTCTTCCGCTCTTCCATATTTATTACTTAATCAGTTCGTTCCGCTCGGCGATCGAGTTATACGCAATCCATGTAGTTATTTAATATGTATGTAGGCATAAATAAATATATATATATATATACATATATGTATATATATGTATGTTTACTTAGCGTAGCTGATGGTTGGGATTGGATTGTAGGACTTTGTTGTTAGGCAACAAATTGCAACAAATTGCTATAAATGATTATTCATATTTTGTTATCGTTGTTTCCCAGGGCCAATTCAAGCAATGTATGTAAACACATATTTGTGTACGAATGAATACATTCGCATATGAGTATACTATAAATACATGTCTACAAATTGCACATACGCCCCGTAAAAGCGCGCCAAACAGAAGGGGCAGAGCGTAGGGAGGATCTGGAAAGGGGTGGGCAGCTGATAGCGAGCTACGTTGATAGCATTTTGCCATTATATGATCTATATGGACACATTATGATGCTCTCTATATCATTTACACTGGGCCAGCTCACCAGATGGTGACATGGGCCCACGCATTTGGCATATTTCTTTTGGCCTCTTCACGCTTCAAGCAGATCGATTTCTTTAGATGCTTTGCGGCAAAGTGGACGTCAAACTGACGCACATCGTCTGCCAAGGTGGATGTGGTTGTGGCTGTGGTTGCGGTTCTGGCTGCGGGATTGGATGCCAAGTTGCCAGGTCTGGCAATGAGTGTCCTAGCCAAACGCGTGTGACCCACTTTCCGTGATAATCGCTAAACGCAGCCAAAAAGCCCATAAATAAGATTTCCGATTAACGGGGCCAGTCGGCGTCGCAGACCATTAAATGTGTCGCCGCCGCCGTCAGCGACGAAACTGAAACTGAATAGCTTCCAAATGTTTGGCTACCTTTGAATATACTATGAATACCTATTCCCATTCCATCTATAGTGCACGGATAAGGATTTGAAGACGTCTCGCTTGCAAGCGTTTATTAATGGGGCTCTCCATTTATGGCTATCATTAAAATATTATATTTCAGAGTAATAGATTTATGTTAACTAATTGATGCATTCATTAAATATATACCGTATATAAAAACTTATTTATATACAAATTTATTAATTTATTTATGCAAGTGCTGTAAACAAAGCTATTTTTGTTATTGCAATTGTAGTTGGCGGCATATTCGAATTTCATATGGGTTAGTATACAAATACTGCCATCTCGTGTGGATACCAAGTGCAACTTTGTGAGTGCATGAATGAATCAATGAATGATTACCAAAATCAATGATCCGACAGTATTTGCATAATACAATTGATGTGTGAACCGACACCAAGCCCGAAATACCGTCCGTCTCAGTTGAGGTATTAGTCAGGAGCATTTGATTAAAAACAAGCAAATTGAATGCACAATTATTTTTGTATTTTACATATATGCATGCATACATATATATTTGGTATATGGCATAGTATATTTTGCGACTCGTAGTACTATAAAAATGTATGTATATGAGCTGCTTTTTACTTACTAAATGCAAAAAAAAAAGCCAAGCGTCAAATGTTGCTGTTACGTGTTAAAAGGTCTCGCACGTGTAATTGATTCATAGACAAGCGTAACACACACTCACACGCACACACACATTCACACTGGCAGACACTCACACACTTGCAAACACAAACACGGAAGTGAAATTCATTTGGTTACAATGTTGCGCGAAACTGCGTAAAAGATTTCAAATTCGCACATACGAGCTGCGAGAATTTATGTATTTATTTCTGTGCAGTGTGTGGGATTCTATATACATATATCTCTCTCTCTATACTTTATATATAGTATGCAACTTATTTTCCTGATTGACTGACTGACTGACTGACTGACTGACTGGTTGAACATGACTTTTGAACTTTTGTAAGAAAAGATAATATATATATTAAAGACGTGTTACACACTTCGGCTTCGAATTTCGGATTCTTAGTACGAAATAGAAAATATCTATGAAAATATACATATATTTTGAAACGGTAAGATTTAATTTTTTCACGGGCAGGAAAATTGATCTCAAATGTAAGGCAAAAAACATGAACCGGACAAGGCCGGAATATATATATACATATATATGTATGTTTGTGTATATCTTGCGACACGAGCACTTGGGGGCGTGGTATGGCATTTTTGGCTGGCATGAGATCGTGAATGTTTATAAAAATATCTGGCCGCCTGTGCAAATAACGTGTTTATGCACAATGCAAACAATTTTTATTTGTATCATGAAAATTAGGAAAAAGTTTCTTCCAGTGCGTAAGAACTAGATTAACTGAATGATCCAGGCTTCTATGAGGATATTCTTAAGTATTGTCTTCCTTCTTGGCTTGCTGCTTATCAGCCCGTCTAACTTGATACTCTCTCGATACCTAATACGATACCTATTAACAATATTATCAATTCTGCTTCCATGATGGTAATGGGAGGAGGTTGCCAGACGTGGACTTAGTGCTTGCTAATTAATGGCATTCATTTATTTTGTGTTTTGTCGCAAGGCTTGAATAGTTTTCCACTTCGCTCGTAATAATCAAAATGACAGTTCAGGCAAGCGTCACCTGGATGATATGTTATTATAACATAAGCATAAACATACTTTTCTATTTTTAATCATATATGAATCATAATTACCAGTGTATGTATGTAAGTGCAACTGTTTGTTCTGATTGATTGATGAAGTGACTGATGAGCGCAAACTGTCAGAGCTTGAAGGCTTAAATACTTATGGAAGATACCGGAACATAAGCGAATTATAGTTATGTTTTTCATTCGAACTGGTTTAGGCACATTCTACAATAGCTTTGAAGACGTGCTGCGCACTTTGCATCCCGCTGACAAACAGTAGTATGGAAAGATTAAGGTATTTTCACGGGCGGAAAATGGGTGCAAAGTCTTATATTTATTTTATATTTTTGTATAAGCATGTGTACATCGCCGCACTGCCTTTAAATTTTGTTTCTAGCTATAGCGAGCTTTCGAAGCTTTACATATTTTGACAGCTAAAATTATGCAGTTGCTGCTTGTACAATATACGAATGCTAAGTATGGGTGTGTGCGTGTAAAATATATGGTACCATATGGAACTTCGTATACATTCGAGCGCTTTTAAGGCTAATCGAATGGCTTTCAGACATTTTAACATAGCTTCAAGTCAGAAGTATTTAGTTGCAATTTGACAGCCCTACTTGTCAACGCAGTTGCTAAAATATAGAATAAATATAAATGGATAGAATGCTGTCCAAGATCTGTGCAGTAATTAAATCTTGGCTAGATTTTGATGTGCTTGCGTTTTGGTGACATTTTGACATGTGCTCTACTTATGTCTCTTCTGCTGCAAATCTTAAATTGAGGGTAAACATAATTTTATAAACGTACATTCAACTTACACGAAAGAGTCAAAGTCCCAAATTCCTTCTAATTCCGATTCTGTTAAGCTGTCAACTCAGAAAATCTGGAGGACTTCGGGCATCTTACTAAGAGAGAGACAAAAAGTTGCGAACTGGATTCCCACAGCCTACCAAAAAATCACTCAAACATAATGATGATCTGCCTTCTACTCACACAATCTCTATTACCAAATTGCTTTGCTCTTCTCTGTTGGGATGTCGTTTAAATGACCAGCTTGAATGATTTTCAAAGAGCAGCGCTATCCAATAGAACCTCTATTAGCCGCTGCTCCAACAAGACAGCAAATCTGGAGCAGGGGCTGTCTGTTCCTTCTACTAACGCAACTGACCCCTCCCTCTGGCGTAACCGGTATACAGGACATATCGTCCCTTGTGCAAAGCAAACGTAATTCCTTAAATTGAAGGTTTTTTATTCCTGGCCAATTACAGGCTCATTGTGTACAAAAGAAAATAACGTAGAGCTCCTGACAATCCAATGGCCGAGAGCTCCTACCAATTTTAATGGAGTTCCTTGCTGGAAAAGTTGATTGTCCACCAAAAAGATTATTTTAATAAGAAACGTTTAAGCCTCTAGGGACATTTTGTTTGAAAAGGGAACTGTCCGTTAATAGTGCTTTTAACGTGCATAATAACTATATATGAAAGAGTTGACTTCCGTAATTTTCAAAAAGTCATTAAATCGGTTATTTCAGATAGCGTCTGGAGTCACTAAAGTCCATTGAACTTGTTCGAACCGAGGCAAATAAAGGGATGTCATTTTAAATAAGTTTGCTTCTTTGTTTCTGTATCTGTATCTGAATCTGCTGTTGTTGTTTTTGTTGTTCTTTTCCATAATGCACACACATAAATGGTGTGTATTTGCAGATTTTGAAGGCGGCTTTTAAATATGCAAGTGTATTTCATTTCCATGCATGACAGGCAGTTAAGTAACTCTCGCTTTTGGCGAAGCCAACGACTTTTTGATTATGTTCAAGCTCTTGTTCTTTCCCTCAGCTTTAAACTAAAAACAAACCAAAAAATAAATATATATATATATATATATATTTTTTTTTTATGAATATATACCTCTTTAATACCCTTGCAGAGAGTATTCTAATTTTGACACGAAATGTGTTACGCATAGAGAAAAAAGTCCTTAACACTATATATATACATTCTTGATCAGTATCACCTGTCGGGTAGATAAACATATGTCGACTATGACATGGATCTGCCAGTTTGTCTTTTGTTGGAGTCGGTCGAGTCTATATAATGTTTCTTCTTTAAGATACCTTGACGAGACTTGGCATTTATAGACTTATCTTAAAAACATCCTATTTCTCTGTTGTAGAGCTCTTTACACAGAATCGGTCAAAGAGTATTTGTATGCAAGACTTTGGCCAGGCTATATTGAAATGGAATTCTCTTGCAGAGGCAATCTGTCGCTTAGGTAGGCTCATGTAGGAAAAAACGCTTCTAAGCCGTTTATCTGGAAGAGTGTTTAATCTTCGATGCGCCATTCTTTGCAGATTTCCATTTATTTTTTTAGTTTAAAGTTTAAAGCAGACATGCAGCCCACATCGGTTCATATCAGCGGTCGGCCGATCGGTCGCTCGGTTGGTCGGCGGCGTCGTCATCATCATTTTTTATGTGGCAACTGTCATTAGCTTCCTTTTGCGCTGTTATTTATTTATATGAAGTTGACTCTGGTGACGGCGGGAGACGGGAGACGGGAGCCGGGTAGGGGGCGTCGGCTGAGGCGGCGGCAACACTCAAATTGAAGCCAGAGACGCATAATTGCGAATTATCAGCATTTTACATTGACATTCTACGCATTTTTAATGACTTCTTTGGCCCAGAACCAACTCGTCTCCGACTCCGACTCTGACTCTGACTTCGACTTCGACCCCCAAGCAGTTTGCTAAATGTGCAAAATATTTTCCCTCATATTCTCTTTTTTCGTATTGCCCACTGCATATCCTGTCACAAAAAAAAAAAGAATGAGTTTCAACTGTCTGGTGCACGCCAAGAGAGAGCTGCCTAATGCAGGAGGGGCAAGAAAAAAAAAACTTAAATAACATCATTGGCATTTGACAGGCAGACGACGCGTCGTCGTCTTGCATCCAGATCCCAGTCCATTTAAACACCCACCCACCGCCCCCTGCTCACACCTCCACGCCATCAACATTCTAGCCAGCTTTAATTTTATGCAGCGTCAAAATTTTTGGTTACCCAACTCAAATGGATGTCCCTCGTTCCCGTTCCCGTTCCCTGTACGGGTCCCGTTTCCCCACTTGTTCCCGATTCTGACTCTTTGTTCAGCTGAATATGGAGCTGGAGATGAGGCATTCAAGACAATTTTGACACATTTTTGATGTGCTGTACAAATTAACATGAAGGGGGCCAGGATGTCTGTTAACTGCTCTGTCATGCTCTGTTAATGCAAAAACTTGTCGATTTTGGTTTGAGCTCTGCCGATTCATCATTCGACTGATTCTCAGGAGCTGGAACTGGTTCGTAGTTTTATTCAGATACCGTTAATACAACTCTGGGGCAACACTACCGCAAATATACCTCTTCATTTCATTCAGGTAGCAACTTTCCACTATAGATATATTTTGGTGTATTAGTAAGACAACACAATATTTAATTATACTCTATTTAGTTTTTATATTGTAATTTAGTATTGTATTCGATCTCATTAGAGTCGATTATTTAATAAGGTATTTCCTCCAGTAAAATAATATAATTTTAGTTTGCATCCAAATTTCCTCCAAACAGAGTGCTTCTTCTGCATACAAGCAACACATTTACTTCTGCGAACTTTCGGTTTGAATTTCTATAAAGAGAAATTCCATCTTCCTAGCTCTTAAGGTTTGGGCTGTGCTTTAATCAACAGTCAGTCAATCAGTAAGTCAGAACAAACGGTTTGATATATTTACATATTTATATTACGCCATTTTAGAATATTTTCTTCATTTGAAAGTTTATTTCTTCATTATCAATCAATACATTAAAAAATTGCACATAAAATGAAGAAAGGTAGCTCCCTTAGTCAGGAGTGCCGGGAATATGTTTGTAAGACAGGGTATTAAAGTCAATAATTATCGATTCTGATGAAATGAGGGAAGATATCCATTATTTAAAATAAACTTGATCAGAGCATGATACTCAAGAAACTATTTCAATTGCGTTTCAACTTCCGCATAATCCTAAGCATTTCAATTATGGTAAGTGGACTTTAGTTGAGTTTTGTTCACAAATTGCCACAGATTTCACATATAACAAAGCAAATGCGTGTCAGGGACTTGATCTTTGATTAATTGATGGCTTTTTACTAAAGCATTTAAATAGGTAGCGCCTATTTTATTACTATATAAATAGTACTCGTGTATTTGATTAGTTTGTCGGTCTGCCAAGGATCGCTTGCGGCAGTTTTATGTTTTCTTATGTTCCCATTATTATTGTTATTATTTGGAGAACTCCAATGCTTTGACCGCTCAAATTCTGTTTTATTTTATGCAGCTTTAGCATCTACAATAAGTACAACAACAATAACAAGAACAGCCGCAGAAGAGGCTGATGCGAAGACCAAGACGGAGACGGCGACGGAAACGCAGACTGAGACCCAGACCAAACTGAGACCGAGACCGAGACCGAGACCGAGAACGAGACCGCGACCGAAATTGCGAGCGAACCCGCATAATAATGGCCATACAAGTGCCTGCTTTCTGGGAACACTTCTGGGTCGTGGCGGAAGTCGAAAGTGTGAAATTCTGCGAAGCGGCTGCGTCATTGATTAGTTTTATGAATGAGGCCCCTCGGACTTGGATCTACATAGCAAATGTGCTGCGTAGAGAGATATGAATCGCAGCTAGGCTAACCCAAAACTTGTCGCGCTATTGAAGTAAGTGTTCGGGCCATAAATCAGCCGAGCCGGCGATCGTGTCTTGCCATGTTGCTACATGACACGCATTGCTCCCACTACCCCAGCCCCAGCCCCAGCTCCAGCCCCAATCCCAATCTCAATCCCTACTCCTACCTGTTACCGATGGTCTTTTTCGATTTGCAGTTGTCAAAAATTCGCACATTTTTTATACGGACATGGTACTCACTCACTCACCGGCCCCTCCCTCCCGACCCTCCCGGCCCTTGCCCATGACGCCTTTGTCATGTAGCCGGCAATTAAAATTGGTTCCCTTCTTCAGTTCAGCCACTCAACTGGGCGTCGTCCGTCGTCCGTCGTCTGTCTTCCAATTTGCCGGGCACAGCTGTTAAATAATTTATGAAGTGCGTAGGGCTTCTGGTGCGCATTTCAAGCAGCGCCTGTCGACTTGGATGTACACATGTATTTATACCATATAGTACGAACATATTTATATACAAAGTTACATAAATACTTAAATATATACATACATATATTGGGGCATCGCCTCACGCACTTTTTGTGCGCAGCCCCGGAAAATATTTGTCCACGCAATTTTTGCTCATTAAACTTTTTGGGCACATTTTGCGAGCTGCATGCAAATGCCGCTGATTAACTTTGCCAATCAACGGAGGGCCTTCCAGGTGAGAAGAGTTGAGGTGAGGGCAGACCGTGGTAGGTGCCCGGGGCAGACCTTGGCGCCAGCTTTGCTAGGCGACTGCGCTGAGGCAGACTTCAATGGCAGCCCATAAATCAACAGGTTAAACCAGAGCCACACGCGCCATGGCGTGGAACTGTAACCAAAACTGAAACCGAAACCAAAACCAAAACCAAAACTGAAACTGAACCTGAAACTGAACCGAAACCAAGTAAACCCCACTAGAGCTGAAGCCACGTTCTGGCCCTAACTGGGGGCAGCTGGCTTTTAGCATTTTTAGCATTTACCCGCACATCTTGAGCCAAGCGTGTTTGCTCAAGCACAGCAACAACATATCCCGCCACGGGCGCTCGTTCGCGGTTCGCCCTCGTAATGCAAGTGTTAAGTCTGGGCACGGTCTGGAGACGGCCAGCAGAGCCCAAAGCTAAGCCGTAGCCCTGGCCAAAGCCTGAACCTAAGCCTGAACTCAAGCCCAAACACAAAAGCGCAACCTGATTAATTATGAATTGGAATGGAGTGTCTGCACTTGGACTGCACTTTGCTGCACTTGCAACCGCGCGCGCGGCACTTTTCATATTTTTACGGTTGCGGAGTTCGCGGCGCGACTGCAAATTGTCTAGGGGCGCATTCGAGCAACAACTTTTGTCACGCTATAGGG